TGAAGAAATCTATCTATCTATTTCTTGACAATTTCCCGTACTCAACCTATCCCTCAAACCCCTCACTCTCAATGTTTGATTTTTCTCAACCCCATCTGTCTTTCTGATTATCTTGCTTATATCACATTTCCACACATTTTCATAATCTAACAAACTCTCCTCACGAATTCCCGCTTACCCCTCCGTTGAAACCGAATAGATTCTTTCTGTTTCACTTGCAAGACACCTCAGCACATGGACCACACTCACCATCGTCAATTCGTTTATGAAACACAGGCTAAATGGACCTCCTAAACAATTGGGTTGAAATGACGAAGGCCCAGACCTCAATTGAAGTCCATTTATTGTCCAAACTGTCTGCAGACATCAACCAAAATCCAAACAAACGACCAATAACAATATATATATATACTATGTACATTGCGTGATTATTACTACTTCCTCCGTTCTATAAGAAAGTATTAATTTTCTTTTTTTTTTTTTTTAGTAATTTTACTATCTACCTAATATTACAAATACCCTTACAATTTATAATATATAATAAGGTTTCTAAAACTACGTGCAAAAAATAAATGAATTTTTAGTTATGGGACGGAAGGAGTATTATTTTTGATAAAATGTTAATAATATAGTTATATTTAAATTTTATTTTATTTTTTTAATTATTATAATTTTATTTGTATACTATTATTTATTTTTAAAAATAAAATAAAAAATAAAATTATTCATATGTCTGTCCAGTACTAGAAGACTAAATGGGCAATAATTTTTCAGTATCAGAAGATTAAATGTGTAACAAATTTTTTTTGTTACTTAAGTGATTATTTTAAAACAGTTTTCATTTATAAAATTAAAATATAAAATAATATTATAATTCATTATTATTAATTAATTAAATATTATATTATTAATAAAATATATCAATTGTACCTAAAAGAAAAAAATATTTTTAAATAGAATGGATGGAAATTTAAAAATAAAAATAGTAATAATAACTGAAAAAAAAAAGAAAGAAAAGAAAATTCTCTGCCATTTAAAACCAAGGGAGTATAGTACGTTAGTGCTCTGTCGTAATCAAACAACACAACAATTGGATAGTCAACGGTCAAACCACCCTTGTATAGTCAGTCATCTTCGTCGTTGCTTCCTCGCCCTTTCCCACTCTCTGCAAATCAATCTTCAAAGCCTCCATTATCCAATTGTCATGCTCACCCAACCATAACCATAACCATAACCATAACCATAACCATGTCCACTATTATTCCCTTCCCAATTTTCTTCTCCTTCTTCTTCCTCCTCTTCCATGGCAGCATCCCTCAGCCCCTCCCCACCAATCCCGAAATCCCCATTCTCCTCGACCTCCAACGCCACTGGTCCAACTCATCCTTCCTCCCCCAATGGTCGCCGCCCTCCGACCACTGCACCTGGCCGGAGATCACCTGCACCGCCGGCTCCGTCACCGCCATCCGACTCCGAGACAAAAACATCACCGCCCAAATCCCCCCCTCCATTTGCGACCTCAAAAACCTCACCTTCCTCGACCTCGCCATTAATTTCATCCCCGATTCCTTCCCTACGGTTCTCTACAATTGCTCCCTCCTCCAATACCTCGACCTCTCCCAAAACTACTTCACCGGAACCCTACCGGACGACATCTCCCGCCTCCCGCCCCGCCTCCAGTTTCTCAACCTCGAAGCCAATAATTTCTCCGGCGACATTCCTCCGGCGATCGGAAACTTGCCAGGCCTCGTCACTCTTCAACTCAATGCAAACCTCTTCAACGGCTCCTTCCCGCCGGCGATCGGAAACCTGTCGAATCTTCAGGAGCTCGTTTTGAGCTATAACTCATTCACACCTCAATCGATTCCCTCCAGCTTCGGTAACCTGACGAAATTGAGGAATCTCTGGATGACGAATACGAATCTGATCGGAGAAATCCCCCAAGAACTCGGAAACCTGCCGGCCCTGGAATTCCTAGATCTTTCCGAAAACAGATTAAATGGGAGCATTCCTCCCGGCCTGTTTCTTCTCCGGAATCTCAAAAACTTATTTCTCCACAAGAACGGCCTGTGGGGAATCATTCCCCGGAAAATCGACGCTGTGCAGATGGAGGTTCTCGATCTTTCGAGTAATTCCTTGACAGGGACGATCCCTGATGATATGGGAAAGTTAACAAACATGACAGGCTTGGCTCTGCAATTCAATCAATTATCCGGAAAACTTCCAGCAAGCATCGCTAAGCTGCCGAAGATCATAAACCTCCGGATATTCACCAACAACCTGTCAGGCGAGCTCCCGCCGGATCTCGGCCAGCACTCGATGCTAACCAGGCTCGAATTCAGCCAAAACAACTTTTTCGGAGAATTGCCGAAAGACCTGTGTGCAAACAGGGTATTGATCGGACTGATCGCCTTTCAGAATAACCTGACCGGAGGATTGCCGGAGTCGCTCGGCGACTGCAGCAGTTTGGAGACAGTTCGAGCTTACGACAACAGGCTGTCGGGCGAGGTCCCTCAGGGATTATGGACATCGATAAATTTGACGACTTTGATGCTGAGCAACAATCAGTTCGTCGGCCAGCTCCCAGAAAGAACCGGTCCGCAGCTGTCGCTGCTGGAACTCGCGAACAACCGGTTTTCCGGCCGGATTCCGGCAGGAATTTCGTCGTGGACGAAGATGCAAGTGTTTCGGATCAGTAACAATTCATTGACGGGGGAATTGCCACAAGAATTCACGGCGCTTTCGGCGCTGTCCGTGGCTTTTCTAGACGGAAATCAGCTTTCGGGCAGCCTTCCATCCAACATTGTCTCGTGGGTATCCCTATCGACTCTGGATCTCAGCCGGAATCGCCTCTCCGGCGAAATCCCCGCTTCGTTTGGCCGTCTGCGAGATCTGATGGACCTGGACTTATCCGAGAATCAACTTTCGGGCCGAATCCCTCCCGAAATTGGCAATCTGAGGCTACCGGTACTGAACCTGTCGTCTAACCGGCTCTCCGGGAGAATCCCTGGCGAGTTCGACAATGCCGCTTTCAACAGGAGCTTCTTGAACAACCCGGGACTCTGTTCCAACACCCCGTCTTTAGGCGTCAACATCTGCCGTGCAGAAACCAGAAAATCGAACAAGTTTTCATCCAAATTAGTCGCTGCTGTCTCGACTATAGCCGCTGTGGCATTCATCGGGGCCGTTTTGTACATTGTTTTCGTCTGCAGAGCTTACCGGAGGCGAAAACAGGGCAGGGACGCGGCCTGGAAGCTCACTTCCTTCCAGCGGCTAAACTTCACCGAAGGGAACATCGTGTCGAGTCTGATCGACGAAAACCGGATCGGCAGCGGAGGATCCGGGCAGGTCTACCGCGTCCCGATCCGTAACTCCGGCGAGTACGTAGCCGTCAAGAAGATCTGGAACAATGTGAAGCTGGATCAGAAGCTGGAGAAGGAGTTCCAGGCCGAAGTCGAGATACTCGGCACGATTCGACACTCTAATATCGTGAAGCTCTACTGCTGCATTTCGAGCGACACCTCGAAGCTGCTCGTGTACGAGTACATGGAGAATCGCAGCCTCGACAGATGGCTGCACAAGAAGAGGATGGGATCGAATGGCAGCTCGGTTCATCATGTCGTCCTCGATTGGCCGAAGAGGCTGCAGATTGCGATCGGAGCTGCTCAGGGACTCTGCTACATGCACCACCAGTGTTCGCCACCGATCATCCACCGCGACGTGAAATCGAGCAACATTCTATTGGATTCCCAATTCAACCCCAAAATTGCAGATTTCGGACTCGCACGGATGCTCGTCAAGAACGGCGAGCCTAACACCATGTCCGTTGTGGCAGGCTCTTTCGGATACTTGGCCCCCGGTAATCCATCGACACATATATATATATACACATTTCTTTTTCTCCAATTACATACGTCGATCTCTAACCTTGCGTAATTTCAGAGTACGGGCAGACGAGGAGGGTGAGCGAGAAGGTGGACGTGTACAGCTTCGGCGTGATCCTTCTGGAACTGATAACGGGACGGGAAGCGCACAACGGGGACGAGACATCGTCCCTTGCGGATTGGGCGTGGCGCTACGCCCAGGAAGGCAAGGCGTTGTTCGATGCGCTGGACGAGGATGTAAGGGAGGATGTGGTGCACTTGGATGAGATATACATGGTGTTCAAGCTGGGATTAACATGCACCAGCAAATTCCCGGCGAGTAGGCCGTCGATGAAGGACACTTTGCAGGTGCTGCTGCAGTGCGGCGGAAGGCTGCAGCCGGAAGCCGGGAAGAACAGCTCGTATAGAACCGAATGGGATGTCGCGCCTCTCCTACAGAGTTCGAAGCCTGAGCGTTCGTTAGAAAACAGCGAAGACGACGATTCTACTTGAGGTTGAGCTCTTCGACCATGCCTGTTCAGGACAAGAAATAGGTTCATGTTATTTACACACACATTCATATACATACATATATATATATACAGAAGGAGATATAGAGATGTCGGTGTTTTGTACGATGAATTCTAGTGATGCAGAAGAAATAAAACAACAATGCTATGCAAGAAAGGGGCTAATTCTTGAAAGATTTCTGAAAATTAAAACTTGCTTGTTGAGTATATATATTGTTCGAGCTCGACTCGAACATGATTTTGGTATAAACAAATCGAGTTGAGCCGTTAACGAGTCGGGCTAATTATGCATTCAGCCAACTGCATACATAATTTTTCTCTCTCTCTATGATGTATGTTAAATGTGTATAAATACACAGAATAATTTCAAAAAACGTAACAGGGAAATGTCGAAGCGGATGTTTTTTCTAGCGTACGTATGCCAAAAGGAATAATATTTTCTACTACTAGATTTCGTAGTTATAATATATATATATATATATGTAGATAGATACAGGACGGACGGACCTGACCTGGTTTTCTCTTGTCTGCGATGATGCAGAGAGAGAGAGAGAGAGAGAGAGCTCCCTTTCTGAACGATATTCTTTAATGGCAGCCTTTTCGCCGAATGGAAACCATCATAATTCTAATTCTATTCTTCCCTGCTCTGCTACACTACAGTGAGTCTCCTCCCCCTCTTATCGTCGTCTTCACATTCTCTATTCTTCCAATTACACATTCTGTCCCATCAATCATGGGAAGAACCATTAAATGGCTCAAGAGATTACTCTACGGACCCAAAACGCAACACCACCCCTTACCAGAAATCTCCGACGATCTATGCTTGAGTCCCAACATTACCCCTTCCCAGGCGGCCTGGCTGCGGGCTTTCTACTCAGAGCCCGACACCGAGCAGAGCATCCGGGCAAGGGCGGTGGCGGCCGCCACCGCCGCGGCCGCTGACGCCGCCGTGGCGGCAGCCAAGGCGGCTTTCGAAGTGGTTCGGCTGAACAGCCGAGGCGGAGGAAGTGGAACGGCGTCGATTGGTGGTAGCCGGGAAATTAATTCCGCCGCCGTCGCTATTCAAAAAGTTTTCCGGGGATTTCTGGTAAAGCTTGAACCCTTTTTCTTTTTCCTTTTTGGGTGCTTTGTTTAATGTGTCATCTGTGTGGAAATGTCTGCGAGCAGGCCCGAAAAGCACTTCGGGCTTTGAAGGGCCTGGTGAAGATTCAGGCGCTGGTAAGAGGATTTTTGGTCCGAAAACAGGCCGCCGCCACGCTCCACTCCATGGAAGCTCTCGTCAGGACACAGGCAGCTTTACGGGCAAGAAGAATAAATCTGCAAATCGGCGGCGGCGGAAATGGCGAATTCCCGCCTGAATTTCCGGCGAGAAAACCGTCGCCGGTCAGGCAAATTGAATCCCCTTTGCAGTGTCGGCCAGACGAGGCTACCAAAATCGTGGAAATCGACACATGGTGCAGGCCGAAATCAAGATCGAAGAGGATCATAATCAGCAGATGGGTTCCCGAGGAGTTCGGCGAGGATGAGGACCGGAGCCGCCGTGAATCTGCCATAACCACCGCGGAGAGCACTGCGAAAGAGAAGAATTCCTTGTTGGGCAATTCGTCGAACAGTTGGCGTGCAGACGATAGCGGCGGATTCCGGTGGTCGAATGGCAGCAGGACGGCGAAGGGCCGATCGCAGAGCGCTCCGAAGCAGCGGCGGGGGTCTCTCCGGGAGGTGATGGGGCGGAGGGCGGCGGTGGATGGCGGTGTTGATTTCAAGAATACTGTAATGGGAAAGCTTCGCATGAATTGAAACATGGTACTGATTAGACACTTAAGAAAAATTCAAATTTTGACAGCTCACCTCAGCTGAGTCTTCTCTTCGTTTCAGGTGGCACCACTTTTTTTTATTAATTTATAATTTTTTTTTATTATTATTTTTGTGTATCTATTTTCTTTTAGTTTTAAATAATTTTATAGAAAAATATATTTAATTTATTTAGCAACAAGTACGTCATTTGTTTTTTACATATAAAATTTTATTACTTCCTCTAACTCACAAAAAAATATTCATTTTTTTTTCACGTAGTTTTAGAAATATTAGTATTATATTAGAATATAATAGGAATAAAATATAAATGATTAAAATAACTTTATTAGTATATATGATATAAAGGTCATGACATTTGTGTAATATATTATAAGTTGTAAGGGTATTTGTAATGTTAGGTAGGTAGTACAATTACTAAAAAAGAAATGAATACTTTGTTATGGGACAGACTAAAATTAAAAAATGGATACTTTGTTATGGGACGAAGGGAGTATTAGTTCTCATTCTTTTTTTAAAATTTATTCTAACTTTCATTTCTTTCGAGTGGCATCTAAATTTTATTATTAGTTCTCATTCTTTTATTTTTAATACTCCCTCCGTTCTATAAGTAAATATTCATTTTTTTTGCACATAATTTTAGAAATATTAGTATTATATTAGAATATAGGAGGAATAAAGTAGAAATGACTAAAATAACTTTATTAGTATGTGCGATATAAAAGTAATGACATTTGTGTAATATATTATAAGTTGTAAAGGTATTTTTAATGTTAGGTAGATAGTACACTTATTAAAAAAGGAAACAGATACTTTATTATGAGACGGACTAAAATAAAAAAATGAATACTTTGTTATGGAACGAAAAAGTATTAAATATAATAATGTAAAAAATAAATATAAATTATTACCTTGACAGAGAGAATTACAGTAAGAACCCTATCAATAAAAAAACTGTTTTGAATGAAAAAATGTCAAAAAATAAAATCAGCAAAATTATACTTAAAAAAACTTATCAAAAAATAAATATAGCAAAATTTATAAAAACCGCCAGATTTGTTGTATAATATATAATAATATAATATAGTTGGTAAGTATAATAATAATATAATATATATATGTATATATGAATGTGTGTGTTATATTTAATATATATTTAAAGATATATAGATAGAGAGAGAGTGGGGGAGAGGATTACGAGAGAAATCCTGTGTGGATGAATTGATGCTTCTTCCCTTTCATTCATTCTCTACATATATATATATATATATAGGAGAAGCAACATACACTATAGGAGTGTAATGCATTCACATCAAGGACACGTAGTGTCTAAGTATCTATTTGTTGTATAATACTCCCCGTTGGATACTTTATACAAAGAATGTGTCTTGTTAAAATTTTACTATGAAAAAACTCAGTGGAAAAAAATCATAGTGAAGGAAAAAGAGTACATCATTCTTGTATTAAGGCGCTCCCCCTGTTTTGGACTTTATTTGATGTCTTTCATCCGACGCATTCAAATTCTTTGTACCAATTTGTTGAATGTTACAGTCGGCAGCGCCTTCGTAAATAAATCTGCAAAACTTTCACACGATCAAATTTGTTGCACATTAATTTCACCATTTTTCTGAAGATTATGAGTGAAGAAAAATTTCGGAGATATGTGCTTTGTCCGATCGCCTTTAATATATTCTCCTTTTAATTGAGCTATACAAGCTGCATTATCTTCTAATAATATTGTAGGAGGTAATATATCATCGGTAATCAAGCCACAATTTTTCTGAATATGGTGAATCACAAACCTCAACCAAACGCATTCACGACTGGCTTCGTGAATTGCTAAAACCTCAGCATGATTTAAAGAAGTAGCTGTTATCGCCTGTTTAGAAGATCTCCAAGAAATTGCGGTTCCACCACAAGTAAATAAATAGCCAGTTTGATATTTTACTTTGTATGGATCAGACAGATAACCAGCATCAGCATAACCAATTAATTTATTTCGAGATTCACTGTAATAAAATAGATCGAGGTCATGATTCCTCTGAAGGTAACGAAAAATGTGCTTGATACCATTCTAATGGCGCTTTGTGGGGGATGCGCTAAATCTAGCCAGTAGATTTACTGAAAAAGATATATCTGGCCTGGTACAATTTGCAAGGTACATTAATGCGCCAATAGCGCTGAGATACGGTACCTCGGGGCCAAGTATTTCTTCATTTTCTTCTCTCGGCCTAAATGGATCTTTACTGGGATCAAGGGATCTGACCACCATTGGTGTATTTAGTGAGTGAAATTTATCCATATAAAATTGTTTTAATACCTTTTTGGAATATATGTATTGATGGATAAATATTCCATTATTAACATGATCCACTTGTAATCCCAGACAATATTTTGTCTTTCCAAAATCTTTGATCTCAAATTCTTTCTTTAGATATTCTACTGCAATTTGGATGTCTTCTGGAGTTCCAATTAAATTGAGATCATCAACATATATTGCAATAATGAAAAAATTTGATCCATTTTTCTTTATAAAGACGCATGGGCATATTGGATCATTAATATAACCTTCTTTTATTAAACATTCACTAAGACGGTTATACCACATTCGCCCTGATTGTTTAAGTCCATACAATGAATTTTTCAATTTGATGGAATATGATTCTCTTGGGTTTAATTTGTATGCTTCAGGCATATTAAATCCTTCAGGAACCTTCATATAGATATCAGTATCTAAGAAGCCATCCAGATCTGCAGTAACTACGTCTAAAAGACGTATATCGAGCTTTTCTCGCACTGCTAGGCTCACAAGGTATTTAAATGTTATTCCATCGACAACTGGAGAGTATGTTTCGTCAAAATCCACTCCAGGTCTTTGTGAGAATCCTTGAGCTACAAGACGGGCTTTATATCGCACAATTTCATTATGCTCATTTCTTTTTCGTACAAAAACCCATTTGTATCCAACTGATTTTATACCATCTGGTGTTTGAACAATTGGTCTGAATAACTCCCTTTTGTTTAATGAATCAAGCTCTGATTGAATCGCATATTTCCACTTTGGCCAATCATTTCTTTGCCGACATTCATAAACTGATTTTGGCTCTGGATCCTCGTTTTCTTCCATTATATCAAATGCTAAACTGTATGCGAAGGCATTATCAATAATTGCCTCTTTGCGGTTCCTACATTTTCTTGAAGTAATATAGTTAATTGAGTTTTCAATAGTCTCATCATATTCTTCAATATCGTGCTCTTCTGGAACAATTATTTCAGGGTTGACTTTCTCGTTAGATTGAGGTTTATCAATGTCATTCCAGATATTTTCATGATTATCATCATTAATTCCTCTTTTCCTTCGAGGATGTTTGTCTTTGGAACCGAGTGGTCTACCATGCTTTAAGCGTGTCGCTGATTCATTAGCATTTGTAATTTTTCCATCAGGGACAATTATTTTAGCCGGAGCATTAGCAACTTGGATATATGATCGAGTGACTTTGCTCGAGTCATTGAATGCATCCGGTAACTGATTTACAATATTTTGCAAATGTATAATGCGTTGAACTTCTAGTTCACACTGCTTTGTACAAGGATCATAAAAATTCAATGGGATTTTCCAATTAATATCTCTTTTTGGTTCATTTCTGTCTCCCCCTAATGTCGGAAAATATGATTCATCAAAATGACAATCTTCAGATCTTGCAGTGAATAAATCACCCGTCATAAGTTCAAGATATTTTATAATTGACGGCGATTTATATCCGACATAAATGTCCAATCTACATTGAGGACCCATTTTTGTACGTTTCGGGGGGGGGGTGAAATAGGAACATAAACAGCACACCCGAAAATACGTAGATGAGATATATTTGGTTCGTGACCAAATACTAATTGCATAGGGGAATAGCTATGATAGTTTGTCGGCCTCATTCTTATAAGTGTTCCTGCATGTAAGATTGCATGCCCCCAAGCTGAAACGAGCAACATAGACCTCATCAGTAATAGTCTAGAAATCAATTGCAATCTTTTAATAAGTGATTCTACTAGGCCATTTTGTGTATGAACATGAGCAACTGGGTGCTCTACATTAATTCCAATCGATATGCAATAGACATCAAATGCATTCGATGCATATTCACCAGCATTATCCAGATGTATAGTCTTAATTGGATTATCGGGGAATTGTGCCCGTAATTTAATAATTTGGGCAAGCAATCTCGCAAATGCCACATTGCGAGTAGATAATAAGCATACGTGGGACCATCTCGTAGATGCATTAATAAGCACCATAAAATATTTAAATGGCCCACATGGTGGGTCTATTGGTCCACATATATCCCCGTGTATTCTTTCCAAAAATATAGGTTATTCAATACCTACTTTAACTGGCGATGACCTGGTTATCAATTTTCCCTGAGTGCAGGCAACACAGGTTAACCCATTTGAGTTTAACACTTGTTGACCTTTTAATGAATGGCCATGCGAATGTTCGATTATTCGCCTCATTATTATACTGCCAGGATGCCCAAGGCGGTCATGCCATATTTGAAAATCGGCAATCTTTTGATCTACCGTGAGGTGTGTTTCAAAAACACCTAATCTGGCATAATATAAGCCAGTAAAGAGTGAGGGTAATCTCTCAATGATGCATTTCCTTTTATCAATGATATTGGTGATCAATAAAAATTCACCATCGGTATCACTCATAGTTTCGATGTAATAACCATTTTTCCGAATGTTCTGAAAGCTCAGTAAATTTCTTCGAGCTTTAGTGGCCAACAGTGCATACTGTATCACAATTTTCGTCCCCGCGGGGAGAAATATAATGGCTTCTCCAGAGCCTTCAATTGATTTTGCAATGCCACTTATTGTATTGACATTCATCTTTTCCCTTTTCAAATGGGAGAAATATTTTTCGTGTTTCAATATAGTATGTGTCGTTGCACTGTCAATGAAACACATATTTGCATCATTTTGATTGGCATCCATTTAACCTTCAAATATAAATAAACGCAGTATTAATAAAGACAAATATAAATATTACAAAATGCATTACAAAAAG